TCGACATGCGCAAGGAGCGCATTGTGTATCTCTTCCTGGAGCACTGGGACAAGCGGACTTGCCCCGGACCCAAGCGCCTCGCCCAGACGCGCCTGCGGAGGCTGTTGCCCCGCGTGGTGGCCGCCGGCGCCGGCCCGGGCCCCGACGCCGCCCCCCAGCCTCCCACAGGCGACGGCCCCGACGGGCGGCTGCGACACCTCCTGAAGCAGCGGCAGGTAGTGGACAGGCTGCTGGGCCGCTGGAGAAGCCTGAGGCGGCGGGTGACAGCGCGCGCGCCCAGCGGCCCGGGCCTGGCACACGGCCTGTACTGGCCCGAGCACTTCCTGCCGCCCCTCGACGGCGGCGCGCCCCGGCGCTACGACAGCCTCACACTCGACCTCTTCATGCTCGGCTACTTCCAGCTGCTCGAGATGGGCCTGAGCCGCGAGGAGCGCAAGTTCCGCCACCTGCTGTGCTACGAGATGTTCGACCAGTTGGGCAGTCACCCCTGGGAGCTCATCCGCCTTTTCCACCGCGTTGTGCTCGAGGAGGTGGAGGCCGGCCGGCGCAGCTGGAGCGACGGCTTTGAGGACCTCAAGCGCCAGTTCTTCGGAGACGGCCCGGAGGCTGAGACAAGGAATGAAGACGCGGAGGAGGAGGAAGAAGAGATGGAGGAGGAAAAAGAGGACGAAGAGAAGGAGGCGGAGGAGAAGGAGCCGGTAGAAGAGGTGGTTCCAGCTCAGACGGAGGACTGGCCAGAAGGGCAGTCCGAGACCCCGGCTCCTGCGCCGCAGCCCCCGCCTCCGCCCGCCCCGCCGCCTCCGCCATCGGACCCGCCTAGTTCCGAGGCCCGGGCAGAAGACCCCCTGGAGCTGGTGTCCGAGATGGGCGAGTTCAGCAACGAAGATATCTGCCGCTACATCGACCGCAGCTTCTCCTTCTGGAAGGAGAAGGAGGCAGAGCTGTTTGACATTTGAACAGGGGAACCCGGAATTCACCCTCAAGCGTCTGAACCCGGGCCGGGATGCCTGTCTGATGCCCTCAGGCGGCCAGAAGCAGGCAGAAGAGACTAGGGCGGGTGGTCTTGGAAAGCTCAAAGTGCCCAGGACCAGGCTGCTCCAGCCTTTGAGGTCCCATCATAGCAAGATGTGGGGCATTGGCCAGGAGAGGCCAGATGTGGCACAGAGCAAGCCAGGTGTCCCCCTCTGGCCACAGGCCTTGCCAGGCTCTGGATGGAGCAAGGTGGAAGACACAGCCCCTGGAGTGAGGGACTGAGGTCCCCTTGGGCCAGGGCTGCCCTCTTTCTCTCTCTGGTTTTCACTGGAGCTCATGGCTGCCTCCCTGGCTGAGGTCAAGGGAGTGCGTGTGCAGTGTTCCGTGTGCTGGGATGTGTGCAGACCCTTTCTCCTCTGTAACACCAAGTAATAAAACTCTTTGCTGTCAGGTGCCTGTGCTGTACCACTGCCCCCATGGCATTGCCACCCCACAATTGCAGAGCTGGTGCCCATTCCATCTGGGGAAAAGACAGGTGTGGGCCAGAAGGTCCTTCATGGGACACCAAGGTGCAGCCTGAACCTCCCTGAGCTGGCAGGAGCTGTGGGAGCCCATGTCCTCATCTGCCCAGAGATTCTGGTTCTCAGGCCTGGGGCCATCTGGCCACCAGCCCCATGGGGAACCAGGTTCAGAGTCTCTGAGGATCATTCCCAGCTACTTCGTTCTCTACTCTCTCCTACACCGAAAGCCCAGCAATGATTTCTCTAGGGCACAGGAGCCTAGGTTATTGGAGGGCAGGAGGCCCCCTCCAAGGGGGCTGTGGCCACATACCTTCATCCATTTGCCCCATAGAATGGCATGAGAAGAGTCTCTTCTTGTGCCCTCATCTGTGTCCCATCGTCCCTACTCCTTCAGGCTCCCCTTCTGCCTGGGGATTCACCTCCTTGAGCCCCCAGCCTCCCAGCCCATGCTGGCGCTGAAGTTGTGCGGTTGTGTTTCAGGAGGAGGAGGAGGAGGCTCGGCTGGCCAGCATGCCTGCCTGGAGGCGGGACCTCCTGCGAAAGAAGCTGGAAGAGGAGAGGTGAGCTGGGGGCCCAGAGGATGCAGGGCCTAGCAGGGTGTCTCAGGACTGTGTCCCTGAGATGTTGGCACCAACTAACGCTGTCTCTTTTCCCTTCCAGGGAGCAGAAGCGGTGAGTGTGGGGCTCAGCCCAACCTGCTTCCCCTCCCCCTAGCGAGTCACAGTGGCCTGTTCTTATGTCCCTCATTCAGCCCCATCTTAAGCAAATTCCCTTGTCACTGTCCTATAGCACAGCTCTCTGCAACCAGTAATGCTACCAGACCCTTTTCCCCCAACAGCTTGCCCCATAATCTAGCACCTATGTCCTAGTAACCTTGTTCTCAATACCCAGCCCCCATCTCCTACTAACCTCGCCTTATTGCCTCACAGTTAAGCCAGCCCTGGTACCAATAACCTTCCTCATCTGCCCACCAAAATTTAGTTTCTGTCCCCAGTGCTGTCCGATATAAATATAATGTGAGCCACATATGTAATTTTAAATTGTCTAGTAGCCACGTTGAAAAAAATACAAATAGGTGAACTTAATTTTAATAATATATTTAATTTAACCTGATGTATCCAAAATATTATTTCAACATATAATCAATATAAAAAGTTATTGAGATTTTTTTACATTTCTTTTTTTACACTAAGTCTTTGAAATATCTTGTGTATTTTACACCTATAACGCATCCCAATTCAGACCAGCACATTTCAAATGCTCAATAACCGTATGTGGCTAGTGGCTACCCTGTCAACAAAACTAAGAAAACCAGTTGTTGTCAAGTCAGTTCTGACTCACACGGACCTCATGTGTGCAGAACAGAACTGGGTTCCATAGGGTTTTCAAGGCTGTGACCTTTTGGAAGCAGATCATCAGGCCTGTCTTCCAAGGTGCCTCTGGATGGGTTTGAACTGCCAACCTTTTCAGTTAATAGTCGAGTGCTTAACCATTTGAGCCATCTAAGAACTCTATCCTGTCAACAGTTCCCCTATGTTCTAATAACCTTATCCCTAATTACGCAACTCCCATCTCCCAATAATGTGGTCCCTCTGCCCCCCAGTAGCCCAACCCATTCCCAATACCCCAGATTGTCCTGCCCACAACAACTCAAGTCCTGGCCTCAATAATCTTGCCCTCTGCCCCCTGTAACCCCTCCTTCATCCGCCAATAACCCAGTTCCTCTGCCACAGGATGACCCAGCACCTGTTTACAGTAATGCTCCCAGCCCACAATAACCCAGCCATGGCCTCCCACTCATCATCTCCTGTGTGCCCCAATGACCTGTTACCTCTGCCCCCAATCAAGCCCCTCTGTACCCAGCCATTCCATCCATGTGCCCCCAGCCTAACCCCTGTTCCTGACAATTTAGCCCTTCTGCCCCCAAGAACCATCGCCTGCCCACCATTTTCAGCCCCTCTGCCCTCAGTAGCCGCCTCCTTGCCTCCGGTGACCCGGCCCCGCTGCAGACCCGGCGCCTGGCCCGCCCCCTCTGCCCACCCCCCGCCCCAGTGTCTGCCCCCTGGCTTCACCGCGGTTCTGCCCCCATCCTACCCCCAGGAAAGAGGAGGAGAGACAGAAGCAGGAGGAGCTGCAGCGAGAGAAAGAACAGTCGGAGAAGCTGCGGACGCTGGGCTACGATGAGACCAAGTTGGCGCCCTGGCAGCGACAGATCATCCTGAAGAAGGGGGATATCGCTAAGTACTAGGCGTCGCGGCCTCCTGCCCGCAACCTGGCGAGTTCGGAGCCTCAGCCCCCGCCCCAGCATGCCCAGTGGCAGCGGAAGGGCTGGATGCCGCGCTGCCTCCCCTCCCGCGCAGGAACCACCACCACCACCACCCCGCCTCCCGCCCCCGCCCTCTGCATCCCAGCCCAGGGTGACGCTGGCGCGCGCCCGCCGCCGCAGCCGCACAGAAAAAGTGCCCAAGCAGTTAACGCAAAAAAGATGCTGCTTATTTGCGTGCTGATTTACATGTATTTGCATGTTTGTTGAATGTCAATACGCAGAGCTCTCCCAGCCCTTGGGTAGTGACGTTTTCCTATGAGGCGCGCGCCGCCTGCAGCCTCCTCCCCCGCACCCCGGAACCTAAGTCGCGGGCGCATCCTGGGCGGAGGCCCGCGCAGCGCTAGGTTCGGGGCTTTCCTCCCTCCCTGACCCAGATCTGAGCCGCCCAGCCCGGCCGCGTTTCCCATCCCCGCCAAGGGTTTCCTCTCAGTCATTTGTTTACCAGAAGCGATGAAAACTGCAAACTGCCCGTCGGGTCGGAGACTACTGCTCCCGGGCCCGCCTCTGCCTCCTCCCCAGTTAGTCTGCGCCCCCGCCCCAGCCAGGTCCCTCGCTCCCGGGTCCTCTCACTGCCCCGGTGCAGCGAGTGGAGGACTAGGGGCCCTGGACCTGTGTCTCCAATCGCTGCTGCTGCCGCGCCCCATTAAAGATCTCTCAGCCGCTGGGGCTCCTGCGCACTCTCACTCGCCGTCGCCGTGGCTTTCTCTTTTTCTGACTCACTTTCTCTTGGGCTAACTGGGCTGCGGCGAACGCGGGCGGGGGAGGCTTCGGGGCTAGGAGCCACACGGCCCCCAAGAACCCCCGTTGGTCCCAGACCCTGGGGTGGCAGGACCCATGGCCCTTTCGACGTCCCCCAGGACACCAAGCTCGGGCCACTAATACCCCCAGTCCCACGGAAACACTAAGAAGCAGCTTTTCTTCACAGATTTAATACCAAGGCCTCGGCCACACTTAGGCCAAGAAACGGTGGAGCCATCTCCTGACCTCTCCCGGCCATTCGTCAACGCTTCTCTAACTGAACTTGAACCCTGGGGCGAGCAGAGCCGAGGCTGGAGGGCGCTGCTACGCAGGGCCGTGCCAGGAGCTTAATAAGTGACATAAAATGTCTACATGCATAAGTAACCATACTTAGGGCTTCTCCAAGGGCCACCCGCGCCCCGAGGCGGCGGGCGGGCCGCGTATCACGGACCACGCTGGAGGCGGCTACGCAGGTCCTCGGCGCAGCCTTGCAGCCCCATGCGCTCCAGGGCCGAATAGACGGCACCCAAGCCTGCGGGTTGCTGCTGACGCCAGCGCTTGAGCATCTCGTACTGCTGGTCGCGGAAGCGGCCGACCTCCACTTCCACGGCCTCAATCTCCGCCTCGCGCAACCCCAGTGTGCGCATGAATTCCTTCCAGCGCCGCGCGGGCACCGCGTCCATAACGTCGTAAAGCTGTGGACCTGGCTGGAGCGCCGTGGCTGCCGAACCTGCAGGGGGCGCTGCCGGAAGCGCAGGCGCCATAGGCGGGCCTGGGACGGGGCCAGAGAGGGCCAATGGGAATGTGGCTAGAGCCAAGGAGCGGGGGCGGGGCAAGCGAATGCCAACGGCAGCAGGGGCAGGGCCCGCACAGCAGGGTCAGTTAGGGCACAGGAAGTGAGCCAATGGTGCTCGGGAAACGACACCTTCCCACTTTGGACTCACAATGGGGTCAAGGCCTTACGCCTCTGAGCTCACTTACCAAGGGCTCTGCTGGGCAGCTGGTCCCAGGACCATGGCACCTCTGGGCAGGGAGCCTCCTGGGTCTGGGGGGCACCAGGGGTCCAGCTGTTGCCTACCAACTGGACAGTGCAAACCTTCTCACTGCTGCCAGGTGGGGCCAGAAGGGTGTGGGTGCTGCCCGGGGATGAGAGGTGGGTGGCCTGGAAGCCAAGAAGTGCCCTTGGTCAGCCTTGCCTGCCTAATAAGTCCCCTTTGCTGGGGTCTCTGACCAGCAGTGAACATACCCTTGCTCAGTCTTCAAGCATCCCCAGTGCTCCCTCCCCAGCTAGTCATGCTTTCCCACCTGTGGCCATCTCCCACCAGAGAAGCCAACTCCTGCCTGGAATACCCTGCGCCTATGCTTCTGCCTTCTGGGTAACCTTCACATGACCCTCCATCCCTGGGGGACACCTCCCCATTATGGCATTCATCCCACTAAACATTCACTCCTGTTCATGTGTCTGTGCTCCAGTAGACTGCAGCCATTTGGGGCAAGGACTGAGCTGGCCTTGCTTACTGATATTCAGCTCTCATTCATTCATTTGGTCTCCCTGTGTCACCACCTGTCCATCAGTGCAGGCATGCATGTTGCTATGATGCTGAACAGGTTTCAGTGGAGCTTCCAGACTAAGAAACTAGGAAGAAAGGCCTAGTGATCTACTTCCAAAACCCAGCCAATGAAAAACATATGAATCACAATGATCCAATCCCATCGTACATGGGTTGCTGTGAGTCAGGGGACAGTGCCATACCAGCTAACAAAAACAACCTGTGCCAGCTGCCGTGCCACACACTGGGAACCACTAGTTATAATAAGGCCCCATTTCCCCACTCCAGAGGCTGAGGCCCAGGGCACCTACCTACCCTCCTTCCCAGCACATTAGGGAGATTCTTACCTGCAGGGGGCTCACGGCCTCCTTCCCAGCTTCATCTGCTGACAGAGACAAAGAGGGGTTGGTCAGCTCTCAGGCTCCTGGGTTCCTCGGCACCCATACTCCCTGCCTCAGTTTCTCCTCCTGTATCAGGGCTGAGTGGGTTCTAGGCTACCTATCCTGAGCCCAGGCTCCCAGGAATGTGTGTGTGTGTGTGTTTGTGTGCTTACCAGGAATCATGGACTTGCGAGGCTGGTAGCGGCGGTACGTATAGGTCAGCATGGCGCCAAGCAGGAGTGGGACCACCAGGCTTGCCAGGAGCACCTGGACCCAGAACACTGAAAGGGCAGCTGTTGGGTGGGTGCCCCCAAACCACTCCTTGGCCTATCCCAGCACTCCCACTCCTATTCCCAGCAAACCACCTACTCTGCCTCCAGCCACAGACAGCAGCACAGGGCTCAGGACAGCTCCCAAGAGTGCTCCTGCAAGGAAAGGGGGTAGGGTGAGGTATGAGGGAGTACATACCCTGGTAGGGGCTACCCAGGACTACCTGACATCCTCTTTATCCAGAGGTCCTTCCCTCACACCCAGCCTCCCCCTGCGAGCCTCATTTTATGTTCCAAAAGTACTGCTGAAATGTCACCTGTGTCCCTAATAACAATAGCAACCACTACCATTTACTGAGCTTCTTCTAGACTAGATTGAGGGTCATTCAAATGTCAGTGTCAGAAGGACAGGAATTTTGCCTATTTTGTTCCCTGCTGTATCCCTAACCCCTAGAACGGTGTCTGGAAACAGAAGATGTTCCATAAGTACTTGTTGAGTGAATGAATGAGGTGCCTTACTCCTCATCATAGCACTATGGGGAACCTACTAACATCCTCATGTTTCAAACAGAAAAACCATGATTAAGTAACTTGCCCAAGATCTCCCAGCCCAAGTTATGAACCAATGCCAATGTGTCTCTCTTTACACATGACACAAATCCTATCTTTAATGTATGGCTGGAAGGATTACTCAGGGAAATTCTTGCAGAGAGTGATAATGCACCCCTTTATCTGGGATGAAGTGAATCCAGATTTCCTTCCATCACCTATGTTTGTCTGAAGTGGGGCCCACCCACCATGAGGCCAGGCTCCCTCCTCTGTGCCCCTCATCCTGGGACTCTTTTATCCCCAAACCAGCAGCAGCTTCCCCTATGACCCCCACCCTGCTCCCAGCCTCCCTTCTCCCCGGTCCAGAGCAGCCAGGAAGTTACGTGGGGCAAGGCGAGCAGCCGTCACCATGTTCATAGAAGCCAGGCAGGCAGGCTCCGCAGTCAGTGTCTCTGCCCGAACCTGCAGTCCAAGACATGGGGTTGCCGGGATGGATGAGGAGAGAGGCAGGGAAAGGAGAGATGTGGGGCAGATAGCCTGGAAGGGGGGCAGGAGGTACTCACAGGGCACACGGGTATGGCGGTGGACGGCCTCGCAGTCTGAGCACAGACGGCAGTGGAAGGGTGAGCCAGCGCTACAGTGCCTCACGGAGCACTCCATGAACCAGCCAGGCTCACAGCCACAGTGGGTGTCCGCCACTGTTGAGCAGTTCCCCAGGGCGACCTGAGAGGCTGGTAGGGGTGCAGGGAAATGGAGAGTGCAGAAGTGGTCAGAGTCAGAGACCCCCAGGGAGAGGCACAGCAAATATCCCTGAAAATGGAGACCAGGACAGACCAAAGCAAGACAGGGTACCCCACAAGGGGGAGAGGCACGAAGTTGGCTGTAGCCCAGAGGCTAAGGCATGCAGAGACAGGAAGGTCAACAGGAAGAGGGGAGGACAAGGTCTCCTGAGGCAGGGTCATGGTGCAGGGGCCCTGGATAGGGGGGGTCACAGGGCATTCACACTCAAACCTTGGGCCCAGCAGTGCCTTCCTTCAGAAAGACCCATGACCCATTCTCCTTCATTCATCCATTCCCCAGCACTAATGGATGCTGATGGGCCAGCCTCCAAGAGCCCCCCACCTCCAAGCACTAGGCAGCCCCTCACCCTGCTCATCACAGGCCTGGCAGCGGGCACAGCGGGTTTCATGGTGGTTCTTCCTGGCCAAGAACGTGCCCTGGGGGCACGGAAGGCAGGTGGCGGCCCCGCAGGGCTTTGTGCAGGGGGCCTTCAGATAGTGCCCTGTAGAACCCAGACAGGGGTCAGTCAAAGGGGACTACCCAGTATCCGAAACTGCTCCCCTTCTCTCCTTCCCTACCTTCCTGTCTCTTGAGCCCTACTTCCCTCTCAGACAGCCCCCACCTCCTCCAGCCTGCTGCCACCTCTCTGCTCCCCTGCCCCAGCCAGCCCTCACTCCCCCCTGATCTCCCCATTCCAGGGGTCACTCACCTTCTGGACAGCCCCTGCAACAGAACAGACCATTCCTCTTCTGGGAGTCACGGGCACAGTCACACCTAGGGCTAGGCGTGCTACCCTGGCCCTGGGCTCCCAGCAGCACCAGGAGAAGAGCCTGGGGGAGGGAGGCTGCTGACTCCAGACGGGGCTGCCTCCACGTGTGGGCAACCCCCTGCCAGTCTCCCCCACTCCAGAAGCCTCAGGATGTGCCCTCAGAGCAGCCCACTTCTCGGGGTTTTGGGCAGAAAGGGTGCCCATGGGAGGGGGGACTAACTTCCTTCCCCTGCACAGACCCGGCTTCCCAGAGAGCCTCTTTCACACGTCCCTCCCCGCCCCCCTTCCCCAGGGCAGGAACTGGGACTGACCGCAGCCCCATCCAGGGCTTTTTGAGGGGAGGGGCACAGATGCTTCTCTGCCTGGGACCCCAAGACCCCTCTGGCCCGGGGGAGAGTGTTTCCTCCCAGTAGAAGAGCCCAGCCTGGGCTGAGCTTCTAATTAGGTCGGCTGGGGGCCCTGCACCCCTCGAGGCCGCCCTTCTCCGCTGCCGCTGCCGCCTCTGCCCTGCTGGGCTCTAAAGAAAGGCCGGAGGCTGTGCCCGGCCCCACACCCTACTCACCACAACCACCGCCGCGCAGCCCCTGGGCTGCGGCTCCATGCTCCGCGCTGCCACTCCCTCCGACGGCGTGCGCCGCCCCGGCCCCGGGTTCCCCGCTCTGCCTGCTGGCTCCGCGCCAGCCAGCAGGGCCCGCCCTGCGCCGCCTTTGATGAGAGCCCGCCTCGGTGCAGGGGCCGGGGCGGGGCGCGGCCATTCCCCGGGGCTCCCCGATCTGCACCCCCACCACCTGGCGCCCTCCAGAGCTCACCTGGAGCGGCGAGGCACACGTCGGACCGGGCTGATCCAGGCCCCAGGCATGGGTTCTAGCTCCAGCCCTGGACAAGTGACTGCCCCTCTCTGGGCCTTGGCACCCCCAGCATGGAGGGGGTTGGGCCACAAGTACCGTAAGAGCCCTGGGTGGAAAACCCACCTTCCCAGAAGTATTTGTGGAAGTGTAAGTCCAGGGGCTTCCCTCCCTTGGAGTACTCAATCCTGAGTCCTAGGAGCACCCGCAGCAGAGTTGGAGCCTCATGGCCCCACAGGACATTAGCTCACAGGCCAGCCAAGGCAGGGCCCCATGAAAGCACCTCGAGGAGGGCTCTGAGGATGACTTTGTGGCTGTTACAGGGGAAGAGGCTTGGCCTTGGGGTACTGGTCCAGGGGCCCCTGTTTCCCACTGCCTCTGCCAGTCCTGTCTCACTGCAAATAGAGGAGGGCACGAGAGGAAAGAAAAAGAGCCACCCTTGAGCTTAAGTCCACCTGAAGCAGGAAGGGAATGGGTGCCAAAAGCAAAGCACTCTTTCCAGTGGAGTATATACAAGTCTTTATAAAAGAACCAAAAGCTCAATAAATAGGCAACTTTACACGGAGCCCCACTCCACCTGTGGGAGCCAGTGGGGCTGGGAGGGAGTGGGGGCAGGGAAAGGTCCAGTCTGGTTTGGTGCAGATGAGGGTGGAGGTGGGAAGGCAGCCTGGATCCCCAGCCCTGGAGCCCAGCCTAGGGTGTTGAGCTGGAAACTTCAAGAAGCAGGCAAGGGACCCTGCCTGGGCAGACCCAGGCCAGGTTAGTGAGGGTGGCGGCAGTAGGGGTGGGTGGGTGGGGTAACGCAGCCTGGGTCCAGGGCTCTGCCAGGGCCTTCCCCACTTCCATCCGGACAGTCTGACAAAGTGCAAATTGGCCCCAGTGGCCGACAGGGACCCTGCCCGCATTCTGGCCCCGTGCACAACACAAGGCAGGGACTGGAGCAGTCACCGGCACCCCCTCGAGGCATGCTGTCTGCTGTCCCTTGATCAGTGGCACCCTTGGGGGCCTCCCTCTGCTCACACCTCCCTGTGGGGGAAGGGGGGAAGACAGTCCTTCCTTGGCTGATGCCATTCACAGAGGGGCCCTGGCCGCCCTCTCCTCGCCACCAGAATCTTCAGGCCCCCTGCACCATTGTCCCCCAAAGCCACCCCCTAGCCAGGCCCCGGGGCAGGTCTCCAGCTCCCTCTCCCATTACCATCCCCAAGTTCTGTCTGCTCCCAGCCATGACTGTGCCCCTACCCACTCCCTGGGCTCACTGTCCCCAGAAATGCTGACACTGGCCCACCTGCCCTCTACCCGTGGCCAGGTCACTCACGAGGCAGTGAGCGTGGAGTTGAGCAGGAGGGTGGTCCTGATTCGGTAGAGCTGGGCCAGGGTCAGCTTCCTATGCTGAGCAGAGATGCCTGGAGGGGGCTCAGGCTGGACCCTGGGCGAGGCCCCTGAGGGCAGCTCCCTGCGCCACCTCCTGGTGGGGCCTCTGGGCTCCCCAGCCAGGCCACTGGCTCCATCCTCGGGCTCTGACAGCTCAGGGCCACTTCCAGGGCTGGGTGTCCCCCAGCAATCACAGCGAGGACCAGCTTCCTGAGGGGAGCCCTGAGTCCTAGCTCCAGAGGCTGCAGTGGCCAGGCAGAGCTCCGACAGGCTGCGGCTGGGCGCTAGGGGTGCTCTGTGGGTGGCAGTCCCCGAGAGCAGCTGGAGGAGGCTGGCCTCCGATTTGGACTTGAGCAAGTGGGGCAGACAGGGCAGCAGCTGGACAGGGGTGCGGCGGCGGAGACGGGGTGAGGGTGGGGGTGAGGGGGCTTGAGGCAACTCTGGGGGCGGGGGCACTGGCTCCATCACAGGGGCTGGGGCCGCAAAGTCCTGCAGGGAGGTGGGTGAGAGGGTGCCATAGGCAGAGTCCATTGAGCAGGAGCGGCCATCCACTGGGCCCAGGGGCAGCAGCTCGCTGGTGGGAGTGATAGAGGAGGCCGTGGTGCTGAGGGAGGTCTCATCCGACTGGGAGCTGAAGGGCCCGCCCTCAAACTCCGGTGAGGACAGTGTCTCCCCAGGCTCTACCACTACCATGGCCAGGGTCTCTGTGGAGCCGTCCGAGGCACTGTGGGGTCGGGAGGAGAGAGTCAGCCCAGCCAAAGGAAACCTGTCTGGGGCAGCCCCATGCTGGGCAATGCACAGAGGTTTACAGCCTCTGCCCTCCAGGAGCTCAAGGCTCAGAGATGCAAGATTGTGGCACATGTACCAGATGTCCCAAATCCTGTGCCCACAACAGATATCAATAGTGGTTGCAGCACAGTCTAAATCCTCAACCCAGCACTCCAGCAGCTACCATTAATTGATCAGACTTTACACTCAAGATGAAAACCATTCACTACCTCTCCTAGACTCTGGCCAGAGACAAAGTACACGTGTGCACACGCGCACACACACACACACATGCCCAGTGGGTTCATAACATGAGCCCTTCAGAGGAAGGAGCCGCGGCTGGGCACTGCTCAGTGTCAATGGCTTTGGAATTGGGAGTCCTGGGGTGGAAGGCCTGCTCTGCCGGGGCTTGCTGGGAGGTCCTGGGCAAGCATACCAGTGCTGAGAGTTGAGGCTATTGCTGCTTTTGCGCAGAATTGTGGGGGAGCTTGCAGCTGAAGTGCTGCTCTCCCCATCTTCCTCCTCCTCCTCTTCCTCATCCTCCTCTTCCTCCAGGCTCTGCAGGGGCTGCTGGCTGCCTGGGTGCTCCTGTGCACGCAGCTGCTGCAGCTGGTTCTGCAGGTAGGGCAGGGGGTGCACAGGGGCAGACAGGCTGTGAGCAGCAGCCCCCACCAGGCTGCCCTGCCTGCCTCACCTGCCCACACATCACTCTACCCTCACCTGGGCATTGTAAATGGCGTCCACCCAGCTGCGGCATAAGGCCTGGCCGCTGGCCTGGAAAGTGTAGGCCCCCACGGCGCTGTGGAACTCGTTCAGGTAGATGAGGAGGAAAGACCCTGGTGAGTGAGAGCCCCTAGTCAGCCAAGGCCACACCACCTCCCTCCACCAGCCTCTGTGCAGGAGCTGAAGGCTGGGACTCCTCACCAAGGTCTCGCAGCTCCCGACACACAATCTTGTCCACTAGCAATGGTGGCCTGATGACCTTGGTCCTCTCAGCCTTCTTCACCGCCTTGGTCACCAAGAGCAGGTCCGTAAAGAGGAAGCAGTACACGTCCACCTGGGGGGTGGGGGAGAAGGAGAGCCCGTTGGGGTCAGGATCCTGGGGTCTCAAGCAGGGACCCTCAGCCTGTCTGCTGTTAACACCCTCCCTGGGGAGGTCGGGGACTCAGATTCTGACAAACATCTCCCTCACCCACCTCCCAAAGTGAGTATGTAAATTTAAAATGAAGACACTGAATTGAACACTAAAAAATGCCTACAAGGGCAAACTTTGTTATATCTATTTCACCACAATAAAAATTGTTTTTTATATTCCAGTTAAAAAAAAAATTAAAATTAAGGCGATTTTCTTTCATCAAGCTATACACTTGTGATTTATTTCAATTAAAAGGTTACTTTTAATTAAGGGTGATGGGAAAATTTGGAAATGAATAACGATAATGGTTGAACATCATCTCATTTAATCATCATGATAACACCATAAGGGGGTGCTATTGATACCCCTCTTTCATAGATCAGGAAACTGAGGCTCAGAGAGATAAAAACACTGTTCCAGGATCACGTTGCTACTAACGAAGAAGCCAGGAATCAAATCCAGACTGTCTGCAAAGCTCATGGCTTCTCCTTGTCCAATGCTAATAAATAAACATATCAACATAACTAGTGTCACTGAACTGTACACATGAAGAATGTTGAAAAGGCAACTAATTTGCTACAAATATATGTACCACAATAAAAAATTTACATTTAAAAGAACGGGGCGGGGGGGGGTAGGAGGAAATGGAACAACCAGAATGGAAATAATGAGAATGTTCACGCATTGTGATGACTGACGAATGTGACCAACGTCACTGAACAACTTGTGTAGGAACTGTTGAATGGGAACCTAAACTGCTGTGTAAATCTTCACCAAAGACACAATAATATATATTACTTTTTGAAAAAAGGGGAGGGAAAATGCGGAGTTATTGCTTAATGTTTAAGGTGGTAAAGTTTTTGGAAAGAGACAGTGGTGATAGTGACATAATATTGTGAATGTAATTAATGACACTGAATTATATACTTACGAATAGCTAAAATGGTAATTTTACGTTACAAATATCTTACCACAATAAAAGGGAAATGATTTTAAAATTACAATTTGCAGAATGACTAGTACAGCAGCAAGGTTCTGGGCAGTTCCTGGTCTCCCTCCTACCCAGGACCCCCGTGGCACTGACAGGTGAGCAGGCCTGACCCCTCCTGGGCAAACTGTGACCCTGCAGAATATGTCAAGAGTGAAATTGTTGGGTGCTGTGGAGTCAGTTCCAACTGATGGCAACCCCATGTGTGCAGGGTAGAACTGCTCCACAGGGTTTTCAAGGCTGTGATGTTTCAGAAGCAGATTGCCAGGCCTTTCTTCCGAGGTGCTCCTGGGTGTGTTCAAACCACCAACCCTTCAGCTAGAAGTCGAACGCTTAACTGTTTGTGCCACCCAGGGTCTCCCTATATGTAAAGAGTAAAACCAGTTAAAAATCAGCTGCTATTGAGTCGATTCCAACTCATGGCAACCCATGGCAACCCCAGTGTGTCAGAGTAGAACTGTGCTCTACAGGGTTTTCAATGGATGGTTTTAAACTGGAAGCAAAAATCTCACCTCTCATTTGACCACATAGTCACTGGTTCTTGAGTCACCACCCACTGACTTGGCAGCTGAGAACCAACGGTGACAGGGGGTCCCTAGAAAGGATGGTCTAAACCCACATGGCAAGAGAGAGTGGGGTGAGGGAGGGCAGGGGCCCCTAGAGTCACCTTGCTGTCCTTCCCCTCCTTCATTCTCAGGCTCCCTTCCAACAGCAGCTGTCGGGTCTCTTCTGGGGAGGCACCGGGGATGGGTGCTGTCAAGTCCAGATGCAGAAATTCCTTCAAGAGCTAGGGGGTGGGAAGGGCAGTGAGTTGTAAGGGAAGTCAGGTGTCTGATGCCCCATCTCAGCTAGGAGTCCTCAAGTGAGGTCTCCAGCATAGCCCGTCTGCCAAATCTTCCAATTTTATCCTTCTTCCCTACCCAGCAGCACTGGGGACACCCCCTTCCTGCACGCGCACACACACACACACACGCCCACCTTGTCGACCTCGTCGTTGCTGCCTTCCACCACCTCGTAGGCGTCAATGCGGCTCACAACCGCTGCCAGCCGCTGCCGCTCCTGTCTCTGCCGCATGCACGCATTCACGTGGTGGATGAAGCGCTCCACCGAGCCGATCTGGAGGAAGGCGAGGGGGTTCAGGCCCACAGTCCAGGAGGGGGCCCGGGAGGGTCTACAAGTCACGGGACCCCACACGCCAGCCTGGTTACCATGGTGACGACGGCCTCCTTGGCTCGTGGCTCATCAGTCTTCCTCAGCACTGACTTGAGTAGCAGCGGGTACTTGGTGAGCCGCTGGTGGGGCTTAGCCAGCATGTCACTCAGCTTCAGCCGCTGGCACTGCTGGTGCTTCTCCGCCCACTGCGGCGGGGTATCGGGGGCGGGGCTCAGGCAAGCCTGCCCACCACACAGCCCCACCCTCCGGTCCCAGACAACACCCGCGGCAACCGCCTTTGCACTTGCCGCCCAGGTGCCGCCTCGCCAATACCCACCACCCAGCCCCTGCCCCCTCACCGTAACATAGGCCCGGAAGAGGTCGTTGTCGCGCAGCAGGCCGCGCATGTACTCCATGCAGCCCTCCTCCTCCATGCAGTATCGGATGTAGGGCTTGAAGAGTGAGCCGAACTGTCCCAGGGCGGGAGAAGAACCACCGCACCGTTAACTGCGTGCTCCCTGCGGCCGGCTAGGGCCAAACGCTTTGCAAGGCCTTTCTCACTGCATTTTCCCAACAATCCCAGGGGTAGGCAAGCTTATGATCTCTGCTTTCCAGACGAGAAAACTGAGCCTCAGCTACGGGACCACCCTCGGCCAAGTAGGTAGTAGCAGATGGCCAGATAAGGGTTCCAACATGGGCGAGTGACTCGTAATCTTGCCTTCGACCACTAGGGGCCATGCGGGGTCACTGGTCAGAGGGATGTTAGGAGGGTGCGCAGGCAGATGGGATCGGATGGAATTGGGCGCGGAGCCCTTCTGGCGCCCATCCCTGCCTCAGTGCCCTCGCCTGTGCCCATCCCTGCCCGTACCATCTTGAAGCCTTTGAAGAAGTCCCCGGGCTGCAGAAGCGCCCGTGTGCGCCGCGCCTTCTCCAGCACCGGCGCCATCACGCTGCCCCACAACCCTCGGTGCAGCCGGACGATCTCTGGGATGTTGCTGAACAGGCGCTCCGCCTCCACCTGGGCGGCACAAGAGGTCTGCTCGGCTCGCCCCTCGGTCTCCCACAGGCCAGGCATCTGGGAGGGGCCCCTGGGACCTAGCCCTCCCGTTAGCCCCGCCCCACCCTTTCGTCAGCCCCTCCCCGATCCCCGCCCCTCAGCACCACCTTCGCCAGGCCCCGCCCCTTTCCCTAAGACAGCCCTTCCCTTCCCCCTCCCCTGCCCCACTGCCAGTCCCCACCGCACCTCACACAGCAGCCCCGACTCTTGCAGGTTCAGGAGGCAGCATAGGAACAGCTGTGAGGGTAGAAGGTGCTGCAGCTCAAGGGTGAGTCCCCCCTCCAAGCCCTACCTGGACCTGAGGCCCCTGACCCGTCCTCCCTCCCAGGAAGACCTGATGCAGCCAGGGATAGAGAGGGTTCACCCTTTCGGTTCCCATCAGGAGGGGACAGGAAGGCTCCAGACCCAAGAAAAGGCCCGGCCCTAATGCCTACCTGGGGGTCACCCTGCCTGGACACCCCTGGAGGAAAGCTCTGGGGAGACTGGCCTTGCAACCATGCCTGGGCCTCTCTTCCACCTCTGCCCTGGCTCATCCTTGCGGGTTGAGCTTAGAGAGTGCTTTCTTCAGGAAGTCTTCCTTGAATCCCCAAGCCCAGGATAGGTGCACCCCTCTGTCCAAGTGCATTCACCTGTACCCACTCAGTGCCTATCCACTGTCTCCCTGTCTAGGGTGTGGGCTATAGGCACCTGGCACAAAGCAGATGTTCAGAAATGACTCTGAAAGAGTGAGGCCTGGCCTGCATTAATTCAGCTCCACCCAGCCAACTTGCCAAAGCCCTTCCTAGGTGTCCGGCCTGTGGGAGACCCTGCTCCCTGGGGTACAGCCCTTCTCTGACTTTCCTGCCCTTTTGTTGTGTGGCACCTGCTCCTTCTGAAAAGGGCTAGGCTCAGCTCAGGGGCCACCCAGAAAGAGGCTGGGGTGGCTGGGGGCAGACAGGCAGGTGGGCAGGTGCACAGGTGCACACTGGGCCAGCGCGGCCCACACTCACGTTGGTGATCACCCGTAGCTTCTTGATGTAGGAGGCCTCGGTGTGCAGGAGCTCCCACACCGCCTCCTGCTGGTGGCACTGCCGGCGCGTCAGCTTCTGGGGGGATGGGAGGGTCAACCAGGGGCCCCAAAGTGCACCTGGCAGCCACAGGGGCCCAGGGAGGGTGAGCAACCCTGCATGCAAACTCCTCATTTTCCAGGTTCAGACAAGGTGGTCCTGAGAGGGGAGGGGCCAACCTCGACATCACGTAGATTCTCATAGTCAAGACACCCAAGTTCTGGGGCCTTCCTCTGCTGCTAAAAGAGCCAAGTGAAACAGTGACCTCTTCTGGCCTCAGTTTCTCCAAAGTGGGTTAATACCAACAGCAGCCCTCACGACTGTCCTGTGGAACATCCTGTCACTAAGCCCTCATGAGGGCCTCATAAGGTAGGGGGATGAGGATGGCGGGGAGGGGGCTGCTAGGCCCAGGGTTGCACCCACCTCATGCCCATCAATGAGTTCGCGCCAGCTGTCCTCCAGCCGCAGGCAGGCATCATCTTCATCCTCGTCCTCATCCTCCTCCTCCTCCCAGGAGTCATGGTCGAAGCGCAATCTCCGGGGCAGCCGGGGCAGCCCAAAGAGGCTATAGGCATGTAGCTTGCCCTCCAGCTGCTCCATCTTGTCTATCTCCTAGAAGGTCAGGGTCAGGGGTCAAGGTCCAGCCAGCCACCTGACCAGCCAGCTCCCCTGCCCCAGGGCTCACAGGACTATATACCCGGCCGAAGGCGCTGGTGCTGGGGCCCGAGCTGAAGAAGCCACTGAAGCGGCTGGCTGCCCGGTTCTTCCAGCTGTCACCACCTGCACTGCTGGGCCCACCACTGCTGCCGCTGGGCAGAGAGCAGCTGGAGGAGGTGGGGGGCTCCTGCCCAGGGATGCTCACCTCCCCCAGGAACTCTGACATGTTCTTGCGGCGGCGGCCAGGGGCCTGGTCAGGGAGAGGGGGTCAACCAGCATATCTTGGCCCCGCAGCCCCCACCTCGGTGGGCCTCCAGGACTGCAGGCCAGCCTGTTATGTGGGAAGGTCTCTGCACCGCCACCCTGGGATGCCACCTCTCCTGGGACCCACCCATGCTCTGGGGACTGGAAGGTCCAGACAGATACACCTGGACCACTGTCCCCAGCCACAAGCACGGACGAGGTGGGGAGAAACACACAGTTACACACACACACACACACACATATACACTTACTAACATAGCTCCCAAGGCATCCCAGGGACATACACACACATAGCCAGTGACTCCTTGGTCCCTGAGCACAAATACACAAAGCCACACAGACCTCACACACACACACACACACACTGACTCCTTGACCACTGCAAGACTTCCAGAGACAAGACCCGACCCCTTGGTATGGTCTAGATCCAGAGAGGGTCCCCATAGTCAGAGCCAGCTCAGTTTCCCAGAAGAGGAAATTACAGCTCCGAGAGGAAGCAGAGAGGGCCCAGGGTGACTTCCCCTCTGAGGAGGCACTGACTCTGTGCTAAAGCCCAGCCTGTGACCCCTCCCCAGCCCCGCCCTGGCACAGCCCCTCCTCCTCACCAAGATGTCAAGGCTCTCCCGGCGGCTCTGGGGGTCCTCGCGCTCCAGGGTGGGGGCCCCGGCCCCAGCCGGCCACAAGATTGGCAGACTCAGCGACTTGGAGTCCTTCACTCCCTGCTCCACCTTGCCTTCATCCCCAGGCTTGGCTGGATGGCGTTTGGGGACAAGAAGAGGTCCTCAGCGCCAGGTCCAGCAGAGGAGGAGGTCCCAGCCCAGCTCTTTTGAGAATGCAAACTAAGGCCTGGCCACCCTCCCCCTGCAGCCCCACCCTTCCAGCACCTGCCACACTGCCTGGCAGACACCTGTATGGTAATGAGCTGCTGGGGACCCTGGCCAATGGCAACCTGAGCTCGGGAAGAAGCTCCCATCTCCAGAGGCCCAGCCAGGCCCCAGTCGCCTGCCCAGCCTCTGGAGCCAGTTGCTCACCTTTGACCCGCAGGTAATGTCCTCCAAACCTGTAGGCCTCGAAGGTGAGGGAGAGGGGCGTGTTGGACTGGTCCAGGTAGATGTCCACTTTGCACAATGCGATGCCCTTCCTTTCAAACACAGGCAGCAGCACTTCCCTGCCCCCAGAACAGAAAGTGTGGACATGAGGGAGGCAATCACAGGAGCCCCCTATCCTGGCCACACCCCCAGCTCCACCCAGCCTTCCTGACAGAGAAGGGAAGCACACTTGAGATCACACACAAGTACAGACACAGGTGCATACACACACCACACTGCTCACAGAGGTTCACGCACATTCTCACACACTTCTACACCCAGACCAACAAGCCCATGCCCTTACCCAGTCTGCACACCAGGGCAAACAGTCACACACCTGTCATACCCAGGTACTGGGCCATGCAAATACAGATGGAACACACAGGTGCACAGACCCGTCACATGTTCCCTCAGGCTGGTGTGCGTACCACATGGGTCTGCACACAGGTATGGGGACTCATTCACGCACAAGCCACTACCCAGACAAGGTCATACCTGCAGAGACCCGGAGCCTCCAGCACAGGAGGCCATGTCTGTCCCACCCCCACCCCTACCCTGAGCCCCACCAAGCCCTACCCCAGCGACTTCTTCTTCATGGCTGGTACGATCTCTGTCTCGATGTCCACGTTCAGGTCGAATTTCAGGGTGAAGCACTCCTTGCTTGGGTCCTGGGAGGACACACACCTAATGGCCTCTCCACTGCCGCCCCTTGTCCCACCCTGCCTGCCCCCAGGACCCAGGATGGGAACACCAGCAGGGAAGGGAACACCAGGATCACCCCAGCCCACCTCCATCCCAGGAGGCCCCCAGCCCCCTCCTGCCTGAGGAGATCCTGGAGCACCCCCACCTGGCTGGGGGGGGCAGTGCTGGGTGCAGGGAAGGGTGGTGAGTGGGGGACACACTCATGCCAGGCCCCAGCCCTCATCCTAGTGTTCAGAGCAGAGAGGCCCAGCTTCAGGGACAGGAAAGGTCCTGGAGGGGCAGAGGCAGTTTGGAAGAGGCTGTCTGGGGCCCCTTACATCTGTATGTCTCCTCCTCGCTTTCTTCTTGGAGAGTCTTAGGCCTGTGCTCTTCCGCTCCCTGCAGGGAAGCCGTGAGGGTAGAGGTGGGAGGCAAGTGTGGGCCCTCACCAGGAGGAATGTGAACTGGGGCTGTGGTGGCTTACCACCTCTCCCTCACCCCAGGTTACCCAGCAATTCAGGGGCCTTCAGACAGGCCCTGGCCGCCATGTGGCTGTGCGCCCTCTGGTGGCCAGCATAGAAGTCACACTCAATGGTACCTAGCAAGGGGGTCTGATCTGACATCCTGAAGGCTGCCCAGGCAGGGGTGGCCTCCTCCAGGAATCTGGTCAGCAGCAGGGGTGGGGAGGAGGTCTGGGGGGAAGGCACCAAAGCATCTGGTCCCTGCATCCCTAGACTGAGACCCAGCCTTGGGACCCCCACCCCTACCCTCCAGGTATCTGCTCTGCCCACCTTCTCCGTCACCTACCCTTTGCCATCCATGGCACCTTCCTCGTCCTCCTCCAGGTCCACCACAGGGCTGGTGCGTGGGGGGCATGACCGGGTGGACACATTCCGGGCCAGGACAGAGCCTGAGGAGGAAAGTGGGAAGGAGTTATGCCTACTCCTCCCTGGCCCCTTCCTTAGCCTTCCAACATGGCTGTCTCTGTGGTGGCCCACTGCCTGTCACCAATCCTGCGACCCCCTAAACTTGCTAGGGCACCACAGTTCTGTGAGGAGGGGCTCAGTCAATGCTCATCCTCTATCACCCCAGTCCCAAAAGGACACAAGGGCCCTGGATGATATCCCAGATGACACCCTACCTCAATACAAATCACCCTGTGGCCTCAATTTACCCTTCTATGAAATGGGGATAAAAGAGCCCTGCCTCTGGGATTGCTGCAGGAAGGAACCAAAGTCCATGGCTCTTTCCCTCAGCTTCTACTCCCTCGCTGCTGTGATCACACCCGATCTCCCCAGGGCCCTGAAAGAGGGGGAAAGTCTTTTTGCCCCCCTGTTCAGTGAAGAAAACAGGCAAGGGGCTGGCATTTCTCACCAGGCCCAGGTGCCTGTCAGCCACCCCACACAGACAGTTGGCAGTGGGCCTGGGCTGAGTCTCTATTCAGTGAGAAGGGTTCTTGTTTCTGCTACAAGTTCCTTCTGACCCCCCACCACCACCTTGGCACTGCCTCAGCTCTGCCAGCAGCCTGGCTCAGAGGATTTGCCTAGAAGTGGAAGCAGCTGGGCCTGTCCCCTTGCCCTCAGGCTGGACAGAGCCAGGAAGAAGGGGGCCTTCCCATGCTGGGCCCGGCAGGGAGCAGAGGTGGCTGCAGACCCTGCCAGATCAACAGAGTGCCCTGGCAGGGAAGCCTGCTCACGAGTCAACAGAGTGCCCTGGTAGGGAAGACTGCTCACGAGCTGGGGTGCAGTCCCCTGATTCTTTTCTCTTGCTGAAAAACTTGTGGAACCAAAGGAACCATGACTCACTTGGGTTTCATTATTTACAGCTGATTCTTGTAAGTTTGAAGGCCCAGGGCTCCAGGGGCCAGGGCGGGCCCCCAAGCTCACCTTGGAGCGGCAGGTCGAAGCGGACATGCCCATCGTAATGCATAGTGCTGTGGAACTTGCTGTCACAGGCCTCGCAGAGGTTGAGGGGCCCCCGGCGGTGCAGCTGCTGGCAGTCGGCGTGGTGGCATACCTATGGCAGGAAGGATAGGGCGGTGGGTCAGGCTGGGCACTGCAGTGGACAGACGCGGCTCCTGACCACCTGTGGCAACTGCTCTTTATCATCCAGCTCACCATTGCCCACAGGGTGCCTTACGCTCATTAATTCATTGGCAAACATTTCCTAAGCACCTACTATGTGCCCATTCCCATACCATACCCTAGGGGTGCTAAGAAAAGCAAAGTCAGGCCTTTGGGGTGCACAGCCTGCAGGTGGAGACCTGGAGTCATAAACAGGGCTGCCTTCTGGGCGCAGGTAGGAAGGGCACCAGAAAAGGATGCTGGGCTGTCATTTGGTCTGGCCAGCTCAGTATGAACTGGAATGCCCTGAGCACCTCCCCCTAAGCCCTCTGCCCTCAGCTGTGTGGCCTGCCTGGCCCCTTGGCCCCACCTGGATTCCTAAGGTGCAAAGGGGGTTATGGAGGAGTCAAGGAGAGGTGGTCAGGGTCTGAGTGCCCACGTGGGGCCCGTGAGCCACTGCTGGGTAACTTGACCCCGGGCTTACAGAACCACCCTCGTCCACCCTCTCCCCCACTCTCCTGGGTGACTTGTGTATCTTCTCTGCCCTCAAACCTCCTGCAGCCCTCCCCAAACTCACTCCCCAACGACTACTTTGCTTTTTACTCTCTGGAACCAGACACCATCAGGAGGTCAGTCCATGACCTCCAGCCACCCCATTCACCCACCTGCTCCAGGTGGGAGCTGCAAATGAACCTACCTCCTTTGATCTGAGGCCACCAAGATCCCACCCGGCCTGCCTCCTCAAGTCTCCCTTCCCATTGCATTCCAACATGCTGTTATTTGTCCATCTTATAAAAGCAGAGCCTTGGCCTCCCTTCACTCTCCAGCTTTGTTGTTGTTAGCTGCTGTCAAGTCAACCCCCAACCCATGGTGACCCCCATGCACAAAGAAACAAAACACTGCCCAATTCTGCTGCCATCCCCATGATCAGCTGTGGATTGGACCCTTGTGATCCGATCATGAAACACAGGGTTTTCATTGGCTAATTTTTGGAAGTAGATCGCCAGGCCTTTCTTCCTAGTGTCTCTTAGACTAGAAGCTCTGCTGAAGCCTATTCAGCATCATAGCAACATGCAAGCCTCCACTACAGATGGGTGGTGGCTGCACATGAGGTGCATTGGCCAGGAATTGAACTCAAATCTCCCACATGGAAGGTGAAAATTCTACCACTGAACCACCAATGCCCCTCTAGCTATTGCTGCCATATTTCTCCTCTTCCCTTTATAGCCAAACTCCTTAAAACAGGTATCTGTACTCTCTACTTACTATTTCTCACCTCCCAGTCTCAGTATTGGAGCCCTGGTGGCACAGTGGTTAAGAGCTCGGCTGTTAACCAAAAGGTCAGCAGTTCGAATCCACCAACCGCTCCTTGGAAACCCTATGGGACAGTTCTACTCTGTCCTATAGGGTTGCTATGAATCGGAATCGACTTGACGGCAACAGGTTATAGGTTATTCTCTTTATTCCCTTTTTCCCAACTTTTGATTGTGAAACATTTCAAACCTACAGAAAGTACAAGAATAGTACGTCATCCATATACCCTTCTCCGACATCCTCCAATTGTTAACATGTGGCCACATTGTCTTTATCACTCATACTCCCTCTCTTCCTCCTCCTTCCCCTGGGGCAGAAATCATTTCACTTCCCCCTAAATATTTCAGAATATATCTCCTAAGAAGGAGGACATTCTCCTACAAAACCCCAATATAATGGTCACACTCAGAAAAGTTAACATTGATAAAGTACTGTAGGAGCGCCATGAGTCAGAATCGACTTGACGGCAGTGGGTTTGGGTTTTTGTTGTTATAGTACTATAGGAGTCCCTGAATGGCTCAAACCGTTAATGCACTCGACTGCTAACCAAAAGATTGGAGGTTCGAATCTACCCAGAAGCATCTCGGAAGAAAGGCCTGGTGATCTACTTCTGAAAAATCAGCCATTTGAAAACCCTATGAACATAGTTCTACTGTACACACATGGGGCCCCCATGGGTCGGAGTTGATTCGACAGCAACTGATTTGGTTTACAGTAGTACTATATAGTTCATATTCACATTTCCCCAATTGCCTAAATAATGTCTGTCATGGATTGAATTATGTCTGTATGTGTGTATCAATTTGGCTGGGCCATGATTCCCAGTACTGTGTGGTTGTTCTCCATTTTGTGATTATAATTTTACGTTACAGAGAATTAGGGTGGGATTGTATAACACCCTTACTAAGGTCACATCCCTGATTCAATGTAAAGGGAGTTTCCCTAGCGTGTGGCCTGCACCACCTTTTATCTTACAAGAGATAAAAGGAAAGGGAAGCAAGCAGAGAACTGGGGACCTCATACTACCAAGAAAGCAGTGCTGGGAGCAGAGCACATCCTTTGGACCTGAGGTTCCTGCACTGAGATGCTCCCAAACCAAGGGAAGACTGATGACAAGGACCTTCCTCCAGAGCCGACAGAGAGAAAGCCTTCCCCTGGAGCTGATGCCCTGAATTTGGACTTGTAGCCTACTGGACTGGAGAGAATAAATTTCTCTTTGTTAAAGCCATCCACTTGTGGTATTTCTGTTACAGCAGCACTAGATGACTAGATGACTACAATGTCCTTTGTAGATTTTTTTCCTATCCAGGATCCAATCAAGGAACACATGGCACTTAGTTGTGCTTCTTAGTCTCTTGAAGAATGAGTCTCCAGACTTTTGTTTTCCTTTATGACACTGACATTTTTTTAAGAGTCCAAGACAGTGGTCTGGCAGAAAGTCCCTCGAGGTGGATTTGACCAATGGTCCTTGGGTAGTCTCCGGTTAAGCATCTGGGCAGGGACACCACAGGGCAGACTTGAACTTCCAGGTACTTCTCAGTAAGGCCCATAAAAGCCAGATGGTTCGGTGAGGGTGGTGCCCACCAGATCTTGCTGTACCTTGCAAAGTACATTTCTGATTTGTAACGAGTAAGTAATCTGTGGGGTGATCATTTGCAACACCCTGTTCCCTAATTATCTCACTCCAGGCTTTAGCAACCGCTGCCCAGTTTTGCGTAAATCAGTTACTACTACGATGGTTGCAAATGGGGAATTTTCTAAATCTACCATTCTCTCTCAACGTCTCTCCAAGTTTTTGCCTTTCCATAATTACAAGAAACCCATTCTCTTCCAGCTCATCCACTGACCTCCAGATTGCTAAATCTGCTGCTCCATTTGCACCTACTGACTCACACAGTTGTCCTCCAAACAGCTGCTTTCTCGGCCCCCAGGAGCATGCACTCTCCTGGTATTCCTCCCACCTCTCCAGCTGCTCCATCTCAGTCTCCCTGGGGGCTTTCTGTCATCTCTTTGTCCTTGGGCCTCTTCTCCTTCTATCTACAGCTATTCTCTCAGTGACCTCAGCAGTCCCATAATTTGAAGCACCATCTACCTGCTGAGGGCTCCCAAGTTTAAATCTCAGCCGGGGCTTCCCCGGACTCTGGATGAACCTTCTCAGCTTTCTATGTGGATTCTAACAGCATCCCCCACATAATGTGCCCATAAGCAAGCTCCTGAGCTTCTCCCTGCAATTCTCTTCATCTCAACTGACGGCAATTCCATTCTTCTGGATGCTTAGGCCAGAAACCTTGGGATCACCCACATCCAGCCAATCTGGAAATTCTGTTGGCTCCACGTTTATTATCTGTATCTTCACCTGACCACTTCTCATCAGCCTACCCTGTCCCCTGTCCCCAGCCCCGTCGCCTCTCGCCCAGATTATGGAAATGGCCTCATACCTGGTCTCCCTGCTTCTACCCTTGTCACCTCTTCCCCTGCCCACAGTCTGTTCTCCATGAGCAGCCAGAGTGGAGCCTATTCAAATAGGAGTCACCTTATATCTATCTACTCAGAGTTCCTGGGTGGTGCACTTAATGTGTTCAGCTGTTAACCAAAAGGTTTGAAAGTTCAAACATAGCCAGAGGTGCCTCAGAAAAAAGGCCGAGTGATCTGCTTCTGAAAAATCAGCAAACCCTGTGGAGCACAGTTCTACTCTGACACATATGGGGTCACCGTGAG